GAAAGAAAAAAAGAGTGAAAATAGGAAAGCTTAAAAAAAAAAAAAAAAAAAAACCCGGAAAGAAATAAGACGCCCACCCTTATTTTCCCTCCATTGTCAACAAGCAAAACGAAAATATTTCCAGGGTGATCGCTCGCAGCTACCCGCTTCCAATTTGGATTAGAAGCTGAGACTGGAGCAGCAAGGAGAAAACGACATCGAGTCACCCCGCGCGTGAGCGACGTTCTGGAGCAGGAGAGAAGGGAAAGGAAGAGACACACGTATATAGCATGTGTTACCTGATTTATTTCGAGATTGTTTGGTACTGTTTTCTCTCTGGGCACCTCTCATTTCGGAAGGCCATCAGAGGCGCCCACTACTGAGCGGCCCCCGCCCGCCTCAGCAGCACCGGGAGCCCCAGGCCCGGCTTCCCCGCGGCGCCGGAGAGCGGAGCTCGCCGCCGCCCAGGCCTCAGGAATCGAGTAAGTAACCCCTGTTTGGCCCCGCGCTCCTCTGCCGACTTCCTCCTCCTCATCCCATTGCTCCGAAAGCTCTCCCACACTCTCCTCCCCCGAGGTAAAGGATACCCCCCACACACACACGAGCCAGCGGTGGGCCCCGAATCCCTTCTTATCCAAAGCTGCGCCAGAATATTACCTACAAAGAGCACAATTTTCCTAAGGGCTCAGAAATGCCAGACCCGGGCCTGCAAGGCCGACTCGGAAAAGTAGTGCCTCTCCTCTCTACCTCCTCCATTTCCTGCCCTCTCCTTGCATCCTGTCCCTGCACTCCCACTCTTCCCACTGCCGCCACCACCACCCCCGCTTTCAAAAATAAAATTGGATACAAACTTTAATCACTAAGGACAAATATTGACGCTGAAACGAAAATGACCCAGTACAATGAGGAGGAAGCCGGAAATGTGAGCTATTGGCCCTAGGAGGGGGATTTCGGTGGAGCGGAGCCGGCGGGGTGGAGGGGGTGGCGGGGGCGCAGGGGCGCAGGGAAGGGCTGCGGCACCGCGTGCTCCTGCCGCCGTATCCCTACGCGGCTCCGCGCGGCCGCGGGGTCCGAGGCCCGCGGAGAGGGGGAGGCGAGCGCCCGAGGGGGCGGCAGCCGGCGGGCGGGGCGGGGGTGGGTGGGCCCGGCCCCTCCGATTGGTCGACGGCGAAAGAGACGCTCCCGCACGCCGCCGGCTCTGATTGGCCCAGCGGTAGGAAAGGTTAAACCAAAAATTTTTTTACAGCCCTAGTGTGCGCCTGTAGCTCGGAAAATTAATTGTGGCTATAGCCGCCTCGATCGCTGTCTCCCCAGCCTCGCCGCGGCCGCTCCGGGACGCGCCCGCCCGCCGCCCGGCTCTCCCCCCCTTTGGGCTGCTGCTGCTGCTGCTGTGACTGCTGCTGCGAGAGGAGGAGGAGGAGGAAGCAGCAGGGGGGGGGAGCGGGGGGTGGGGGGGAGACCAAGAAGTACAGTTGGGAGCGAGGGAGCTTCACCCCCGGGGCGGTGGTTGTTTCTTTTTTCTTTCTTTCTTTTTTTCTTTTCCTTTTTTTTTTTTTTTTTTTCTAATTCCTGAGGGGTGGTTGCTGCTTTTGCTACATGACTTGCCAGCGCCCGAGCCTGCGGTCCAACTGCGCTGCTTCCGGAGCGCTCAGTGCCGCCGCTGCCGCCCGCGCCCCCCGCGCCCCGCTCGGCACCCACCGGTCGCCGCCGCCCGCCGCGCCGCTGTCCCGCTCCCGCGCCGCCGCCGCCGTTTCCCCCCGACGACTGGGTGATGCTGGACATGGGAGATAGGAAAGAGGTGAAAATGATCCCCAAGTCCTCGTTCAGCATCAACAGCCTGGTGCCCGAGGCGGTCCAGAACGACAACCACCACGCGAGCCACGGCCACCACAACAGCCACCACCCCCAGCACCACCACCACCACCACCACCATCACCACCACCCGCCGCCGCCCGCCCCGCAACCTCCGCCGCCGCCGCAGCAGCAGCAGCCGCCGCCGCCGCCGCCCCCGGCACCGCAGCCCCCTCAGGCGCGGGGCGCCCCGGCCGCCGACGACGACAAGGGTCCCCAGCAGCTGCTGCTCCCGCCGCCGCCGCCGCCGCCGCCGCCGACCGCCGCCCTGGACGGGGCCAAAGCGGACGGGCTGGGCGGCAAGGGCGAGCCGGGCGGCGGGCCCGGGGAGCTGGCGCCCGTCGGGCCGGACGAGAAGGAGAAGGGTGCCGGCGCCGGGGGGGAGGAGAAGAAGGGGGCGGGCGAGGGCGGCAAGGACGGGGAGGGGGGCAAGGAGGGCGAGAAGAAGAACGGCAAGTACGAGAAGCCGCCGTTCAGCTACAACGCTCTCATCATGATGGCCATCCGGCAGAGCCCCGAGAAGCGGCTCACGCTCAACGGCATCTACGAGTTCATCATGAAGAACTTCCCCTACTACCGCGAGAACAAGCAGGGCTGGCAGAACTCCATCCGCCACAACCTGTCCCTCAACAAGTGCTTCGTGAAGGTGCCGCGCCACTACGACGACCCGGGCAAGGGCAACTACTGGATGCTGGACCCGTCGAGCGACGACGTGTTCATCGGCGGCACCACGGGCAAGCTGCGGCGCCGCTCCACCACGTCGCGGGCCAAGCTGGCCTTCAAGCGCGGGGCGCGCCTCACCTCCACCGGCCTCACCTTCATGGACCGCGCCGGCTCCCTCTACTGGCCCATGTCGCCCTTCCTGTCCCTGCACCACCCCCGCGCCAGCAGCACTTTGAGTTACAACGGCACCACGTCGGCCTACCCCAGCCACCCCATGCCCTACAGCTCCGTGTTGACTCAGAACTCGCTGGGCAACAACCATTCCTTCTCCACGGCCAACGGCCTGAGCGTGGACCGGCTGGTCAACGGGGAGATCCCGTACGCCACGCACCACCTCACGGCCGCCGCGCTCGCCGCCTCCGTGCCCTGCGGCCTGTCGGTGCCCTGCTCCGGGACCTACTCCCTCAACCCCTGCTCCGTCAACCTGCTCGCGGGCCAGACCAGTTACTTTTTCCCCCACGTCCCGCACCCGTCAATGACTTCGCAGAGCAGCACGTCCATGAGCGCCAGGGCCGCGTCCTCCTCCACGTCGCCGCAGGCCCCCTCGACCCTGCCTTGTGAGTCTTTAAGACCCTCTTTGCCAAGTTTTACGACGGGACTGTCCGGGGGACTGTCTGATTATTTCACACATCAAAATCAGGGGTCTTCTTCCAACCCTTTAATACATTAACATCCCTGGGACCAGACTGTAAGTGAACGTTTTACACACATTTGCATTGTAAATGATAATTAAAAAAATAAGTCCAGGTATTTTTTATTAAGCCCCCCCTCCCATTTCTGTACGTTTGTTCAGTCTCTAGGGTTGTTTATTATTCTAACAAGGTGTGGAGTGTCAGCGAGGTGCAATGTGGAGAGAATACATTGTAGAATATAAGGTTTGGAAGTCAAAATTATAGTAGAATATGTATCTAAATAGTGACTGCTTTGCCATTTCATTCAAACCTGACAAGTCTATCTCTAAGAGCCGCCAGATTTCCATGTGTGCAGTATTATAAGTTATCATGGATTTATATGGTGGACGCAGACCTTGATAACAACCTAAATTATGGGGAGAGTTTTAAAATGTTAAACTGTAATTTGTATTTAAGAAGCATTCGTAGTAAAGGTGCCCAAGAAATTATTTTGGCCATTTACTGTTTTGTCCTTTTCTTTAAAGAACTGTTTTTTTTTTTTTTTTTTTTTTTTTTTTTTTTACTTTTAGACCAAAGTTTGGGTTCTAGAAAATGCACTTGGTATGCTAAGTATTAAAACAAACAAAAAGGAAAGTTGTTTCAGTTGGCAACACTGCCCATTCAATTGAATCAGAAGGGGACAAAATTAACGATTGCCTTCAGTTTGTGTTGTGTATATTTTGATGTATGTGGTCACTAACAGGTCACTTTTATTTTTTCTAAATGTAGTGAAATGTTAATACCTATTGTACTTATAGGTAAACCTTGCAAATATGTAACCTGTGTTGCGCAAATGCCGCATAAATTTGAGTGATTGTTAATGTTGTCTTAAAATTTCTTGATTGTGATACTGTGGTCATATGCCCGTGTTTGTCACTTACAAAAATGTTTACTATGAACACACAGAAATAAAAAATAGGCTAAATTCATATATATCTTGATACTTTTGTCTCTTTTATTAAGTAGAGCTAATTTTTTAAAGACCTATCAAGTTATAGGGAATTCAAAGGCTTTTTCAGCCAAACTAAAATTTAAACTGCTCCTTTAATTTGAACTGACTCTAAAAATGAAAATGGTATTTTTCCCTTTGTGAATAAATTTTACAAGGAGCAGCCTATTTAAACACTAGCTTTAAACAAAGTATAGGCTTTTCAGCTGATACCTGTAAGTTTCTGTGGATATACAGCAAAAAGATATAATTTAATTTTTATGTGCATAGTTGTTTACCCTGTGTTTATTTTCAAATCAGTTAATAGAATGCATTTTATATATTTTGTTTCAGGTATATTGTTAATAGAGCTTGGCAAATTATAAATAAATATATGTATATGGTTAGATAGAAGTGAATATAATGCACACATATGTAATATATATAGACACACAGAGCCCTTCAGTTCAGGTACAATTTGCGCTATGAATGCTGCAAACATTTTTGTTTAAATATTTGTATTTATACTTTCGAAGTCAGCATTTATTTTTGTGGCTGTTTACCCACAATGAAAGAGTTCTAATAAAGATGTGCTGAAGTTGCAATATAGATTTTGCTGAAGTGATCACCTGTTGTAATGACTTGCAGATCAATGTTTATATTTTATTTTGAAATTATAACAATTTAGAATTCTAGACATTCTGAAGTAAAATGCCTCTTTTCTTAATTTTCACAATGTAGAGGTATTTCTTTGATTCCCTTTTAAATGTCTGTGTAATTCAATCTAGAGATTTGTTCCTTTTGCTTAGTCACAATTTTGTTTTAACTTGCCATATGCATATGTATGCATATACTGTATATGTGTATATATGTGAGACAAAATGAAAACATTTTTTGAATTGTTTCAGGCAGCCCTATAGCTACAATTGCAGAAAATAATTAGAAAACCCTAGTAAAATGTTTAGTAACTAATTGGATCCTGTGGTGAATCTGTGGAGGACAAGTTGTTCATTTGTTACAATTGTATAGTCTGATATGTGTTCTGCAGTACTGCAATAAGCTAGTTACTTCTTAACAATGGGCCCAGTGAAAAATAATCTGTCCCTAAGATGTTATCAGCAAACACTTAGAGAGTTGCTCAGGAGAAGAGAAANAAAAAAAAAAAAACAAAAAACCCTAAGGGAGAAGCAAGGTTACTGGAATAGATTTGAAATTGAAATGCTGAATACTTAATACTGGAAAATAGAAGGGAGTGGACTGTGGAGTGGAGACAGGAAAAGAGAGAGAAAGAGAGAGGATCTTTGTGGTGAAAAAATAATTACCACCAAAGAGAGTGAATGAGAGAGAGAGAGATAAGGTGAGTGATAAAGAGAGAGAGAGGCCTAAGAAAGACTATAAGGGCCAGGAAAATTAAAAGAGCTGGAACCAAATATACACAAATGGGGAATGGACAAAAATAGACCAAGACAGTTAGTTTAATTATCTCCTTTAAGCAATTAGACATGATTTTATTTTCTTAGTATAAGAACAGTTTAACCAGAGGTTCAAGTTTCCTTGAAATTTAAGTTATTCAGAATGAAGCACAAAAACATCTCCCAAACAAATTATTGTTTTAAAAGCCAAATTTATGGCCGATATTAAAAATAGCAATAAGGTCCAAGTGAATGGTTTTAGGCAAAGGAAATCCCTATTACACATTTTTAACTGAAATAGCTCAGAGAGGTATGTGTCCAAGCTGAAAAATGGTGATGATTTATTGCTTGCTTTTGCCATGGATTTTATTTGTGGAATAAGAATGTATTAACACAGGGGAAATATAGAATTTTGCTTACCAAACGTTAAAAAGAAGGTTGAACTCTTGTGGTGAGGTAAAGGGATATAGGTATAGAAGAAAGTTTTCCTGCATGAATTTTTTTTTGACCACATTAAATAACTATAGTTATTTGTGATTATAAGTGTTCATTTGGCTGACAGATAAATAGAATTTTAATGGCAAACATCATCCTTTGAAATCTAGAGTAAAACTGATTTCTTTGATTCATAGAAACGAAGTACTGGAGTAAAAGTTCTGCTTGAACCCATGTCCAAATTACATGTAATGGATATGCCTAGAAGTTTGTTAGGTATACTAGACATGAAGGCAGATATATGGAGAGAGAACCTTGGAAAGGCTTCCAGAAGCCCAGTATGAACATCTCATTTCCCTTGATCTATCCTATCATCCCTCAACTTACCTTCTCAAAAAACACATGACAGTCTGGAATGGCATGTAATACATTATTGCATCGAACTGGTTGTAATGTTTTTACTTGTTGTCTCCAACCTTTGACGGTTAAAATTAGTTAATGTCAGAAATATACTTCAAAACTTTTTGAGGATTTTTTTTCATACTTATAATTGTTTTTAATAAGATGAAGGTTCTCCTTTGTGAGATTTTGGAACTGAAACTGATCAAAACTTAAAACTTGAAATCCCAAATTAAAGTTTATTTCCAGGTTTAAAGTATTTTACTTGAATTTGTCTGTTGTAAAGTTAACAAAAAAAATTAATATGTAAAACACAGAAAAATTATGTAATTGAACTAGAGGAGTTAAAGTATTATTTCAAATTCGTTTCTTCAGCCTGTTACAAAATTGGGAACCAAGTGAACATAAAGTCTAGAACAAAGTTTAATACAAATATACTTATGGTAATGGAAGCCTTCATGTAGTTTCTGTGACTTGCATAAAATCAAAAACAGAGAGGCAAAAATTTAGTCTTGCAGTGTATTGATTAACATATATTTAAGTTGGTGCATATTTCACCCAAATACGTAAATTTAATATATTTCGAAGTCTATAGAAGTGTGGTTTTTAAAATGTGTTTTCTACATCATTGTTGAGGAATTTGCATGCTTTGGGAAAACTTTGCTTTTGAGAAATTAATTTTATGAATAGCTAAAGTGGCTGGTTGTGTTTGAGACTAAAAGCCTGTTGGAGAATTAGGCTAACAAAGGGTGAAGGTGAAGATCATTAGAGGTTTTAGAGCTGGCTGAGATGGGTTGCTGGGGTTGTGTAACTGTGCCTAGAGGGCGGGGTTCCTGTACATTCCTACTTCACCAGATAACCTGCCCCCAACACCACTTCAGCTTCTGCCAGACAGATGGAACTCTCCAGCATGAAAATCTGCGCAGCCATTCCAACAAGCAGGGTAGGTGAAACTTGAATTAAAATTCTCTCCTCTTTATTTTTCTACTTAAGGCCAGATCCTGAAGATATGGAAGAATAGAGGTCATTTAGATTCCTCTCTCAGGCACACACGTCTGCATTCTTCCTCAGGCTACCTACCTGTAAGAGTTAAAAGGCACTGGAGATCTTTTCCAGTTAGTACTTCATGCTAGATTTTCATTTGCGTGCATTTTTTAAAAGGATTTATTTTCTCTATCCCAATCATTCCCCATTTTTATTCTCCCTTCAGGGCCCTTTCCCCTCAATCACCAGCAGTTAAAATAATCCACTCAGATTTTGGCTCCCAAAGGCACCCATTCCCCACCCTAGCGGTCAGTTCTAGGGACCTTATTCTGAGGATGTAGGCCAAGCGGGCTCCAGGCTGGCAAATAGACTATGTATTGTTAGGTTTTGTATCTCTTGTCTCCCTCCCGATTTCTACTGTGTTTTGTTTTTGTTTTTTTCCCCTCCACCCAAGGCTCTGCCTGAGGTTGTCCGAAGGATGCCGAGGAAAAGGATATCAGGACTGGAAGCGCTCTTACCACAAGATCAGTAAGTGAAAGTGCTTTTCCGAAGGGAAGGGGTGGAGTAGGGAGTATGTGTAACTGACTGCTTTGACTGAGTTTTAACGCGTGACTTTGGGGTCCTGGGCTTAAGTGTTCATCTTGGAAAATGTTTGTTAGCAGGCGCGCTACCAACAGATGTAGCTGAAAGGATGCATAATGTTTTCCACGTTGACAGAAATCACAGTGAATCCCCAGGTCAAAAGGATGTAGACACGGCAAAGGAATATGGAGAGAAAACGAGACACATTTGTATGGAGAAAGGGTACTGGGAGACTGAAATAGGTCCTAAACTGTAAAATAATTCATTTTGTGGAAATATGGTTTCTGATTCTTATGGTTGCTGCAGGAACTCCGGGACGTTCTTAATGCTCAAACACAGGGTTATTAGTTATCTCTGTTTCAGTTAAAGCTCTTTGCTCCAGAGCCAAGAACCTGCTTCCCTCTAAAGTTCTTCTTTGGATCGCCCTCCTCTCTCTATTTGCACACTAACAAGGCCAACCTTCCCTAGAGCTCGCCCTGGCCCCCAGCTCCTTGGCATGGGTCACACTAGGCTCCCAGTCGGATTTAGCCTGGCTGCTCTGGGTCGGGAGAGGCACTGGGCGCGTGTGGGAGTCTTCTCTTCTGTCTCTTCGAAAGACTAGGGAAATGAACACCGTTCTGGGCTTGACTTTGTCCCTGCTGGGAGTATCCCAGTTCCTGGCTTTGGAAATCTCAGGCAAATAATTGATTCTTAATGCACACTTAGGAGACGTCAGTGTACGCTCGAGAGCCTCGCTGTCCCAGAGTGGCTGAGAGCACGCTCCAGATACAGGCTGGCTCGGCCCGAGGCGAATTTGGGACTCTCTTTGCGGCGTCCTATTAATTGGCCTTCCCGGCGCCTCAGGGACTCCTGGGCGAAGATGGAGAGGTGGCTTAATAGTGGGACTTGAAGTCGTTGTGGTCGGGACCCGGCGGCGTTGTTTTCTCGGGTTTTGGACCGATCTGGAGAAGTAACTTAGGCTGCTGAGTTGGGGCCTCGCTGGCTGCGCGGTGGCCGGGAAGGAGAGGCGCTCTCGGGACGCTGCGGCGGAGATCCCCGCAGAAGGCGAAGCCGGGCGCTGCGCAAGGAGCAGCAACGTGAGGGCGCTCTTGCCCAGGACAAGCAGAGCTGAACGTTTGGTAGCTCACATTGGCTGATGCCAGGAAGAGAAACTTCAGAACCTTGACTGGCGCACTTCCCTACCTTTTCCCTTTCTTCTTCATTTTCTGTGTGCCATCCCCACCCCCCCCCCCCCCCCCCCCCCACCACCAGCTCCACCACTTTTTTCCCCTCCCAAAGTTGTTTCCTTTTGTTTACCGGGTGCAGTTTCAGATCTCAGCACTTCTCGGCTAGTAGATAAAACTATTTGCTCTGTAATGGACATCTCTTCTCCTCTCCACTTGCTACCCGACTCCCCCTTCCCTTTCTACCCCATTTTGCTTCTCTCTGACCAAGGCTGTGGTCCAAGGTGGAGGGATCTTACAGGAAAAAAGGTAGCCTCGGTGGGAATTCCCATAGCACTGAGGGCGGACCGTTGTTGGCGAGAGGCAGGTAGGGGCTCCGCAGGGCAGAGTACTCCGTCAGTGCGTAGATTCTCAGGCGGTAATCTTCAGTCTAGGAAAGGTGATGGGAAGGAAAGGCAACGCAGAATAGAGGTGGTCCACTTCCGACTCCCCCTCACTGGCCCTCCCTTGTAAGTAAGTCTCAATTTCTATAATTCAACACCGTCTTCACCCGCTCCTCTATCAAACCTTGAGGTAGGCAGACATTCTGAAAGTGTTGTGATCACAACAGGCATTTACAATGATAACAAATAACTCACAAATTATGTTTGTGAGGCTGCGGGTTAAGATAAAATGCCCCACGTCTTTTTCGTGGTCTGTTGCATAGCACAAAATCTTTTTCCCTATCTTCGGTCCTATCTTCCCTATCTTGCAGAAAAGCCCCATAAGAGGAAAGCATGTTGGACGTTTACAGATTTGAGATTCGTGTTGGAATGAAAGGGAGTGTTTAGTTACCAAACATATTTGGGTATTCATTTTCGGCTTAGGTTGAATTTGCCTACTCGACTGTCACTCCCAGAAACTGGAGTCCTCGTCTTCAATTTTATTCCTCATCTCTTCCTATTGTGTCATTCTTTGAATCAATGCATTTAAGGTGCAAACATATCTTCCTGCGTAGATGTTTTTTATTCCGTCGATTGAGCACGAAGATTAAAAACTGTAATGGGGTTATGGAGTGTTGTCTCAGTTCTTTCATTTTCTCATTGCTGTGAAATTTAATGACCTGATCATTGTTGTTTGAAGTTAAATTATCTGTTAAATTAGCCCTAAATAATAACTGATTTTTTCCTTTTGGATTTGGTTGCTCTTGAATTCTTGGCCCTGGATGGGAGAGAAGTCTGAGAGAGTGTTTTGTGATATGATATTATAAAGATAATCAAAATCAATATTTGTGTGCCAGTGATATCACATAGGGAAAAAAAATCCCTTTCAAAGTAGCTGAATTTCATAAAGAAGACATTCTTTTAAAAGCTTGTGCTTGAGAAGCCTGGATTCAAGAATGAATGTAAATAAGCATCTTTGTTGATGAAGAAAAAATATGAACACTGTATTTTCATTACTCTCCAGAATCTAAATATTCAAACTCATCACATACTGGTGCTTGCTAATCTAAATCAATTCGGCCTTCCAGGGATACATATTCTCAAAAAGAAAACTTAACTCTTAGCAAAATCTAAATCATTGTTTTAGATGTGAATTTCTAGAAATCCAAAGTATATTTATTTCTTTGAGTCAGATACTAGTTTGTTTTGCAATCATTATATGAAACAGTATTAACACAATGCAGTTTTTTTTTTCTCCTTGCTTGTTTCATGGTGCCTCCATATGCAAGTATAGGTGTGAGAGCTTCTGTAGTGTATTGAGGAAATGACATCTTATTGTTTTAATAAAAGACCCAAATAATCTTTAAACTAAAATGTACTACAGCCGTTGAAAAATATCTTTAAAATTAATAAGCACCATTGTGTGTTTTTCCTATTAAAATGTACTGAATGAATAATTAGAGGCTGGAATAAAGATTGAAAAATTCAGAGCAAGAATTAAGTGGTAATTTTATTATTTGATACTTTTATAATTTCTATAATAAATGATGTCATTTTAAAGTTTGGGAAGGCTTTCTTATAAAAAAACAGAGTACTCCTCCCATCCCATCAGAAATACTCTAGAAGGAATAAAGTAGATTCAGGTAGAACCGGCAGAAAGAATTGTTTATTTATTTATTTATTTTTTCCAGTAGTAGTAGTATTAGGGAAGTTGAAAAATATACTTTTAATTATACGTTGCAAGCTCTGATTGCAGGTTAGAAAACTAAAATCGATCATTCCTACATCAATAGTGTTGTTTATTACTACATTGATTTGTGTTTATTTATGCAGAGGCTTTCAGTTATTTACTTACATATTTCAGCATCTGCCTCTTGATTATTATCGTGGGTTGCTTTTAATGAAAGAGCTTATATAGGAAGCGAAACACACTTGACAGATCCATTTTAAGTAAACCTGATAGTGAATTATGGCAACCCAAGGAGATTATGAAATTACTTATTCATACTTGCTTTTTAGCAATTAGGAATATGTTTCTAATTAAAACCTCATGCTGCTTGAAAACGTCCATTCTTTTCTTCATACTTTGTATTGATATGTTTCAATAAAATAGAAAAACAGATGATTTTGTGATGTCAGATATAATAGAATGAAATTGATAAAGAGCTTTGTTGTCTTTTTTCATTGGCATGATGAAGTTATCCTCATAACAATAAGCTGGCCATTCGGTTTATTAATGCTGTTTATGAAAAATCAAGTAGCAATCATTTGAATATAGACATAATACTTGTGTTTTAAAACACCTATTAATTCTAAATTATGCCAGGGGTACTTAGGCTGAATGAGACAATCTGGAGTTCTTTAGTATGTAGTTTATATACTCATATTTTGTATTACTTAGCATTATGTGTGATGATAACTTACAAAGATAGACATTTCTCTTGAACTAATATCTCACAGGAATGTTACGTATCAGAGTTCATTTGAACAAATAGGAAAACTAAAGACCCAGTAGTGTGCCTTTTGTAAGTACAGAGCAACAGTGGGATATTGAGATGTGTTAATATCTGTACTTCTCTTATCATCATTACAAAATATTTAAAGATTACTTGAAAATTGAGAGAAAAACGTGACCTAATTTATTGAGGGCTATTTAATCCTCACTTCATAGGACTTTTATTCAAGTTTGAGGATTAATTCTTCCTTGTTAACAGTTTGGAATACATTTACCAAATACTGTTAACAACCCTATTATTCTTCATCTTTTGCACCAACCCCCACCCCCAGTCTGTGCAAGGAATAAAACCATAACCATTTTTGTTTTTTTTTTTTAAGAATGATAGGGCCTTGGGAGATGGAAAAGGAATTAATCGTCTCACCCTGGCCGAGTTTTCCTTAGCATCCGCACTGTGAGAGGTGGAACCGCTCAGTCCCGAGGCTGGCTGCAGGCAGAAAGTGGGCGAGTCCTGGGACTTAAAAAGTTTTGCAGAAGGTTGAAAAGAGGAGCAGAGGGAGAGTTTTGAGTTTAAGTTTTGAGTTTATTTATTTTATTTCCTTTTTTTTTTTTTTTTTNTTTGTCTTATGCCAAGCCCTTGAAGTTATCCTAGCAACGACATGGTCCTTATAGGACCAAGCATTCTTGGCATTCTGTCGAGATTGTGATTCCAGAGCATCGGATGAAGGGGACTTATAGCTAAGGCATACTCACCCACCCCTCCCTCCGTCTTTTTACGCACGCAGCAACTCGTCCTCACGTGCATCAGGGTAGTGGACAGTGTTGACTTGAATTGCTCTCCCTCGCTCCAAGCCTTTCCTGTGAATGAACCAGAAAACACTCGACAGGTCGTGAATAATCGTTTTAATGAGTGTGCAAAGCGTGCGACGGGGTGCACCGAGCTGTCGGGTTAAACAAACAACTTGTACCCTGACCAAATCCGATTGTTAAAGTGCAAAGTGATGTCAGTACCATTTCCATTGCCTTTCGGAAATCCACAGATCTGACACGCGGGAGTCCAATTTTCCCCATTAAAGAAAAATAACAATATTTTTCGACCGTGTATGTGATCTTCTTTAATATTAATCTGAGCCAAACCAAACTTCATTTGGAGAATGAGAGAATTAGTCATGTCTGTCTCAAAGAACAAATAAGAAGAAGGGAATAAGGAGGAAGAAATCAGAACAAATATAAAATGTCTGAAGGATAATTTCTTCTTGATAGCTTGCACATCATTCCTGATCAATGTTGTAAAAATCTTCCATGTATAGATTACTTCGTAGCTCACTAAAGACAAATATTAGGTTACTTGTATGTAAACAAATGGACTGGTAATTTAGTCTTGCGCTAAGATTGAATTTGTAGACCTGTAAAGGCTTTTACTCTCAAAAATTTAACGAAAATATTTGTTGTTTGTATAATAGTCTGTGAGAGAATGAAGGCATAAGTCGTTTGCACATTTATGCTTTCAAGGAAAACAGTTTGGAGGAAAGTAATGGAAAAAGAACCCTAGCTGGCTATTATCTAAAATCATAATTAAAAAATTACAAATGAGATTTTCACAAATTATACCCTCCCCCTTTTTTGCAAAACTGCACTGGGAAATATTTTATTTCTCATCCAGAAAGAAGGCCTATTTGAAATCAGTCACATGTTCTCCCTTCTTTGTTGATTCTTTTATCTTCTTTCACAATTCCAAACATTAAATATTATATGAAGATTAAGAATAAACTGCAAAAGATTTTTTTAAAACATCTTTTACACATTACCTCTAAAAAAACCTGTGGAAAGGAGAAATGTGTAAAATATTTCCCCTACCAACATGTTTTACATATTCACAATTCAAACAAAATGGCCATGATGCTTGGAAATCAGTGTCCTAGAGCCACAGATCTAGCTTCTTCAACTCAGTAACAATATAGGGAGAGCAAGGTTGATATTTTTATTGGATTATTATATATTATGTATTTTCTATATGAAAGACAGAACATATATGATGCCCTACAATCTGCAAGCTTATTTTATCTCTTATAATTGTAATCCATTTGGAGAAATGAAATATTGGGGATATAAGACACTTGAATGTGGAAGCTCAGCATCTGCTCACTTACCTCCTATTGGCCATAATGTTGCCTACATATCTGTGTC